GAGCTAGCCTTCTCCAGTAGTCCTAACATAAGTAATATGCAAATCCAGTATTCATAAAAAAAACAATTGTTACACTGAAATGTTTACTAGTATAATAAGGTAATTCAAATGAGTTCTAATGCAATCAATAATCGGAAATCAATTTGGTCGAAGCAGACCTTGTGGGTGGGGTAAGCGCCCCACAGTTATGCGTGAGCAAATACTCATAACTTGACCAAAACTTGGTTCTGATTGCGTCATTGCTCTTGGGTGTAAGCGCCGATTGTTTGATGTCGCGTCGTTTGATTGGTCTATTAGGTGGAAGTATAGTGAGGGCGAGTCGGCGACATCGGTTCCCGTAAAAACGGTATATAAGCACCCTTGTACCCTCTCTCTATTCTGCGTCGCTCACCCCCCTGGGGGACGATCGCTTCCGATGAAGCCTTAGAGACCTTCCCGACCAGAGGCAGCCCCTACGGGTGTTTTTTATAGTTAGTACGAGTCTGACATAACCTTGCAGCCGGCTGTAGGGTATCCATGAGGCTTTCTCACCCGCTCCCCCGCCTGGGAGGAAACAAAAAAAAAATCTCTTTCTATTTTTTGTGTAGCAGACCTTTAAACTCGGAAAGGGATCGTCACTGTATCAATTTGAGCCGTTCAGTATTATTTGATTGAAACTTCATACTGCAATGCACTTTAATCGAAATTGAATCGTAATCGCCTCACCTCGGGAGCGGGACACGAGCTTTTCCGCGGCAAGGCGATTTTCAATTCCGATTAGAGTGCGTTGCAGTAGGGACTTTTATACAAAGAATACAGAACGGTTTGAGTGGATACTGTGTCTTATCACAATTGATATGTCTGCTACCACCTTAACACGCACTGATAGAGATAACTGAAGGATCGCATAATTTACTCGCATCCTCTTGAAATTCATCTGAAATTCTCAAGTGGTTACATTATTCGCAGCGCGTGATAACCTGTGCGTACGGCTTTTGAATACTTACGTTACGAACCTTTGATAATTACGTGATTCTTGATATTTCTCAAGAGACCGCTACCGCGATCACAAAACTGATTTGGTTAGTTTTAAATAAATCTTACTTGTTAAATGTGTTAAGTCTTTAGTTTCAATTTGATTTAAAGCGGGATAACTTATTCTATAGTTTCAAATTTATTTTAAGTGAAGCTAAGAGAATTATTCGGTTAAATTGGGGCGCTCCAATTTGGAGATGTAACTAACATCTATTTTCCAAAAGACTACAGTGAATTAAATTAACGCTTTCGTAACGTTGTGTTCTGACAATCGACGAGTTTGAAATTTTGCACGAAGGCGCATAGTAGTTTTCAGAAAGTTACAGGATTAAGTATCGCCCCTTTAATATCATTGGCTGGTTTTTGCAGTAATACAACCTCAACTTCAGTAATTTTCTTTTCGAAATTTTAAATATGTGAATAAGGTTTTGAAATTAATAATAAATGAGAATACCAACAGTCTTTCAAAAGTCCCTTCAGTTTCGCAGGAAAAAGTCGAACAAAGATTGCGCGGAGGGCACTTGATGACAGTGAATCTATGGCAACAACGTCCAATCGAAAGTCATATATCGAGCTACGGTGTTGCCAGCTCTGTGCCACGCACTTCTTGATGACATTTTTGTTGAGTTTGTAAGCTACCTTTTTATGAATTGAAGCGTCGTTTGACAGTTCTTTGTGTTTGTCGAAAAAGTTTTATATTAAGGAAACGCACAGATTGATATTTGTTTCTGTGGGTTAAATTTTGTTTGCTACTATATTTGCTCATTTTTTAATTTCAAGTTTGTTGGAAACTTGTAAAGCGGAACGTTTCGAAAGGAATATGGAAACACGGGTAGGGCAATCCCGACCAAGCCTTCAGATTTCAGGAAAGAAGGATGACAGCTAATGTCATGTCTTTTGTTGGAAATGACTAGTTAGCATTGTTGATACTTGAGAATGGCGGAAGTGTGAAGGCACAATCAGAAGCCATAAAATAAAATAAAAAAAGAATTTAACGCGGCCCGTGTTGTACCGGTTGCGAGTCGAATTCCATCTGTTTCAATGCAGACTTCGCAATACGCCAGGAACATTTTCTGTGTTGGTTTTTTATGTACCTATATATATATGATTACAGGTCAAGTGCTGAGTGTGGTGCCAGCAAAGTCAGCCACGCAATTCTGAAATCGGGCGGAGGGAAGCCGGCGGCTGAATGCCCTATAAAACAGGAGAACATTCAGCCGACAATCCTAGTACGTACCTTGTCACCTAAATCACGCGGGATAGGTTTTTAAAGGTACCTTCAATGTTGCTAATCCTACAGGTTTTGTTTCAATAACTGGAATTATAAATAAGATTATATTTTGTTCTTTTTTAATGGACGGAATTTGGTACCATTTTGGACGGGGTCTAACATGTGCTATGTCGCCTGCACCGGCTGGTTACTGTTCACCACCAACTTAATGTGCTCTGAAAGTCTGGTACTGTGTATGCTCCCTTAAATATTCAGTGCCAATGAGCGGAACACACGAGGTCGGTGCATCCTGCCTTTTAATTAGTGTAGTATGAACAGTGGTATCTCCATTTCATCATCAGCCTCTTAATGTCCCCACTGCTGGGGCACAGGCCTTCCCTATGAATGGAATAGAGAGATTGAGCCATGACCCACCACGCGGGCCCAGTGCGGATTGGTGGGTGCTAACGACTGCAGATGCAACCGGGACCAACGGCTTAACGTGCCTTCAGAAGCACGGAGGAACTCGAGATAGAAATTTATGGTCACCCATCCAATGACCGACCACTGCGAAAGTTGCTTAACTACAACGATCGCAGCCGAACGCGCTAACCACCTGCGCTATCGAGCTCCTCATATCTCCGTTTAGGGAATTGTTTTTTTAGTATAGCACTGTAACAACACACTGCTTTCATTGAACGCATTTAAGCAACCCCGAACGGGAGCTAATTTTGGTTTGAATTTTTTGTTGTAAGGTGTAGACCAAATTATTTAACAATATAGACCGTTCAACCAATACCATATTCTATTTCACACCTGTAGTATTCTTTTACTTTACCCGGTGGCTCCCTCTGGCAACATTCAGGGAGGCACCCGTGGCACCCGTGGCACTATTTTTAAGGAATACATTAAGTTTCAAATTTTATTTTTATCCATATTAATATTATACATGTGTGTTTCTCTCTTGCCTCTTCACGCTTAAACAGCTGAACCAATTAAGATGAAATTTGGTGTAGAGATAGTTTGAGTCCCGGGATAGGACAGTTTATCATATAAATCAACCTGTAAGGGGGTGAAAGCGACAGGTGGAATTTGTATGGGAAACCAAATTACCCACACAAACGAAGTCGCAAGCGTCCAATAGTGGAGTATTATGCTTTTATAATAGCAATTGAAATACAAATATGTCAAATTTTCAAATCTCTATCTATCGTAGTTCAAAAGATACAGCTCGCTGACAGACGGAAGGACGGTGGAATTAGTTTAATACAGCTCAGTACATAGTACGAAACTCTAATGATCTGATGTAAATTTTGTTTTGTTTGATTTATTTGTTCGGTCAAGGATGTTAGAAGCACTCGTCAAAAGTTGAAAAGTTATCTTAAAAGAGATAGGGCATAGTGGATTACCCGCTCGAATTGGAGCGCCCGTCTTGGGAAATAACCTCCACCTTAAAGTAAAAATTTCTTTAATATTATTAATAAAATTTTCTTTAGCTTTAAATAAGTAGATATGTTTCTTCACCTATCTAATCTATCAAACAGTTACTACTATTTTTTATGCAGTAACCGCGTATAAAAATAGCTCCGATTTAAATAACATGAAGTCACGTTTTTCTAGAAAAATTAAAATAACATGAACTAACCACACACGACATTAAAAATATTCTTACAATTATTTAGTTACGTTGTGTCCGATAACTTCTAACAAAGGTTTTTTTTACAAAAATAAACAAAATATAATTTATTAAAAGAAAAATAATACCCAACGGTTTCATTCTTAGAAACGCCGGCTCACATCATCACTTCGCGCTGAGATACGTAGAAGAATCGACTGTATTTATGCTTGTAAACTAAATATAAGTATTATTCGAACATAAATCAATAAGAATGTGGGTAATTAAAACAAAAAAATCAAAATGAATACTCTACATGATGTATAAAGACTTAACATAAAAATATAGTTTACTATAGATACTTTATATAATGGAAAAAAATTGAAGCTTTATTGAATTATATGTTTTTCACTTTCTTGTTTTTTGACAACTTGTTAGGTCAACCTTCTTAGGCTATAAAACATTCAAGTATTTATGGAGTGATATTTTTTTGGCAGCTTATACTAAAACTAAATCTTTTTCAGAACAACTATAGAATGATATTCAAATAAATGCTAAGGACCTGACTTAGTAGGTAGTAATTTTGTGTTTCCTATTTCTATTTAATTGCTTGCCAGATGAGATTGCTGCTTCACTTAATTAGATATATATAAGATAGAATATTGTCTATGTCTTCTCTATAAAGGAGATCTTTAAATATAATATTTTTTGGCAGCTTATACTAAAACTAAATCTTTTTCAGAACATCTTATAGTATGATATTCAAATAAATGCTAAGGACCCGACTTAGTAGTAATTTTGTGTTTCCTATTTCTATTTAATTACTTGCCCGATGCGATTGCTGCTTCGCTGAATTAGATATAGTTAAGATAGACTATTGTCTATGTCTTCTCTATAAAGGAGATCTTTAAACGTGATATTTTTTGGCAGCTTATACTAAAACTAAATCATTTCCAGAACAACTATAGTATGATATTCAAATAAATGCTAAGAACCTGACTTAGTAGTAATTTTGTGTTTCCTATTTGTATATAATTGCTTGCCCGATGAGATTGCTGCTTCGCTTAATTAAATATAGTTAAGATAGAATATTGTCTATGTCTTCTCTATAAAGTTTTTGTACGCTATATTGCATTATATAAGATAAAAGGTTTTTCTTACCCCATAGCTGCTTATTCAGAATCGAATCGGCGATCACAAAAAATGTTTACCACACAGCACCTCCTTTAGCAACACTCACTTTGAAATAGACTTTCCGATAAAATACATCCACGTTTATAAAGGCATATTTGTAATTCAATGTGATACTGAAAAATAGGATTGAATTCGAAACCAAAATCAAGAGTCGATTTAAATAATTCACTCCGACTAACAAGTGGAAATCACATAATATATTTCTTTTTAATAAATCAATCTTGTTTTGTATTGAACGTTTTTCTATACCACGCTTTTATGCTTTACGTCATTGCCAACGTACGGAAGCTGATTGTAAAAAATTACGCAACACCCCTATTCATTGATTGGCAATAAATTACATTTGCGTTCAGTCCTCTTTTGTCACAGAAAAGTTCACACGCACGATAATTTAAAACTCAAAGTTTATCAAATTTAAATTCCGAACACATGGAATGTAAGGGCGAGGTCAGACCGTATTGTGACGCCGAAAAAGTTTATGTGCGAAGTCTCGTGTCGAGCTTTCAGTTATTGTAATGTGCGTGTCGCACGCGCCGCAAGGCGACTGCGGATCACGCGTGTGCACTGCGAATCTAGCGATGCATCGGCGCCGCTATCAAATAAACAAAAACTGCACGAGCGAGGGGAGCTCGAGCTTCGCCTTCGGTCGATTTTCGAACGCACGAAACGTTAATTTCATTCGCGATTTCGTGAAAGTGATAAATTTATTTCGGTTCAAGCCCGCTCTCTCGGATCCGGAAATGAGATTATGACTTTTGCGGTCTGTTATTGTTATTTCTTTTAATTGCGTTTGTCGCGTTTCGTCGCTCGCCTCCTCGCTGTAAAGGTTATCCTTTTACAGCGGGAATCAGATTAAGAGCTATATTTACGAGCGCGTCGCCATACTTTGCTTGATTTTATTGATTGTGTGAGTGCTTTTACTCATTAGTATGGCGAAGTGTTATCTATTTGAAATATTTATTGTGTGCGTAACATCCCTAAGTACTTTAGTTTATCGGTGTTCGAATCGTCCTTTACGGCCATTTAATTAATCTAGTTCTTAGAGATGAGAAACAGAGCAAGCGCAGTATGCGGTGAGTGTGAGCGGCTTTAAATTTAACCAGCGACAATGGAGAAGTCAGTCACAGATCTAAATCAAGGATAAGTACTTTGATTTGTTGTCGTGTCTCTGCCAACTTTGTATGTTGTTTGATAATTTTCTTTTTTTATTCAAACAAAAGCTTTGGTTGTGAATTTAGCGCTGTCATAAGTAACGAGGTTGAACGCCCTTTTTATTAATTTGTATATTGTCTGCAAATTGGTTTCCCCATATAAAATTGCTAAAAAAATACGTTGAACGTAAAAAGCTCTCTAATTCAACATACAAAGGAACGGTTCAAAAGTGGTATAGTCTGTTTCCGGCAGCGATGAAACATATATCACTTGAAAGCTTGTTATTTGTAATATCATAAACAGATCAATTTTTTTTTATTTGCCTCTGATTAATTTAAAATCGTGTTTGAACATTGAACAATTTCGTAAGTATGATGGCCACCCTGTCATTAGTAACATCATAGGTTTAGTCTTTAGCAATTTATTAACGTCAACTCAGTCACTGTAAAATGTCAGTCGTAGTGAAATTATTAAACGAAGTTACTCACAAAATACTTAATAACATGATAAGAGATTAACGGAATCATTATCACTGCTATAGTTACCTAATGAATAGAATAGATTTGATGCTTTGACAACAAACGTAACATAAATAAACTTCTAAAGAAAATTTAATGGGTCCATTGTCACCCACCAATCCGCGCTGGGTCCGCTATCAGCCCCCAATCCGCACCGGGTCCATTATCACCCACCAATCCGCGATAGGTCCATTATCACCCACCAATCTACGCTGGGTCCGTTATCACCCACCAAGCACTAGATTCATGTATTTTATGACGGGCATTGTTCATTGTTTACCGATGAGTCACCCTTTGACACTAATCGTAACGCAAAAATCGTAACACATTCGCTAGTATACCCCCCACGTCAAGCTTGCCTAAAGAAGTTTCAGTTCAGAAAACCACGCGGACCAGGCAGCAGACGGGATTTCTAGTTGAATTTTCTTTAGATTTAAACATCTATCAGTTACATGCTTAAAAAATAACAAATATAACTATAAAAAAACTTGTCAAATGTCAATCAATAAATATGGATAAAATAAATTCTTGTTTTTTGTCAAACGATTAACAATTAAGTGCACTACGTGTCGTAAAAAAATTGAGTCTGACTGCCACCGTCCATACAAATTTAAACGTGTTTAAATGCACTGACTGCATTCTTATGAACTACAGGTAGATTATGTGGGTAACAAAAAAATATCATTGGCAAAGGTTTTTGTATACAAAAGAACGGAATTAAAATATGAAGAGGATAACTCGATGCTGTATCAAAAACAAATTAACAAAGTGTTACCTCGGCTGGGATTCGAACCGGTGCCGCCCGCTTAATAGGCGAGCTTTATACAACTGAACGGACCGATGATTGTTGATAAGGTATGTTTTAATAACAATTAAAAAACGTAATGCAACATGCTTAAGATTAATGGAAGTGATGTGGCGATGTTATAAAAGTTTATTTATAATAGAACAACTTGCTATGACTAAAATAAACTCTTAAAAATATAAGCAGCCCTATAAAATTAAATGATCAGTATTTTCAAAAATCAAAATTTTTTTTTCGTCTTTTTTATGGTTGCGTGCGGCTTTCTAATTTTATCATAAACATTTAATAGTATACATAAAGTTTCATGCTGAGTATAAAGTTTAATGCAGTATATAAAATTAACAGTTAGAAAGGGTAGGTATTTAATGGCTCATTAATTATTATATGGTTATCACATCATCTTATATATTCGTGATTTCAGATTTCGTGACAGATTTATCGCAATAATGTAAATCATTGTGAGCGATAATATAATCTGAGGACAATACCAGAAGCCTTGACTGGATAATGTACACTGATGTCCATACTCTAAAAAATCAATCAAATCAGAGAGCAGATGGTTCAAAAGTGGTAGTCGGTTTCCGGCAGCGACGAAACATATATCATTTGAAAACTTGTTTTAAATTATAACATGAGCAGATACATATTTGTTTCTTAGGTTTTCATCAAGACAGCAAGACCATCAGATACTATTAGTTCTTTTTGTTTGCACAATTTAACATAAGAAGGAGATAGAAAGCCTCTCTTGAGTTTGTTTCGCCGGTTCTTCTCAGAAAGGTCTCCCAATTTTGGAACCGGTGGTAGTTTACGGTAGTTAGGGTCAAATAAATAAACTCAAAATTACAAAAAAGAATTTGAAATAAAATACTTTATTGAGTAAATTAAATAATAAATTCATACATAGACAATAAAACTTAAAAATCGAACAATGAAATAACCAAACGCTCAATAAAAGTCTTTCGAAGGTAGCTCGACAAATTGAATAAAAGTTTTATTCTGACGACGTAGCCTGTAAAGGCTACGAAACGTCAATAAATAAATAAAATTTCGTGCATTAACCCGTAAAAACTAGTTTTATTTAATGAGCAGATACTTTATTTTTTTATTTATTTACGATTAATTTTGAATCGTATTTAATAATTGAACAATTTGGTAAGGATGCTAGGCACCGATACAGACACAGACATGTTGACCAAGCCACTGCCATCATGTCATTTATTATTTTATTATCATGTCTGGTTTGTACCAAGACTGAAAATGTTATCTGAACAGCTTGGATTTTCCATTTTCATTGTCATTGTCATTTTCCATCCTCGCTCATGGTATGGTTGGGAGTTTATTATTGGAGCTTAACAGAGGTACATTTTTATGAGAAAGGTGTAAAAACGATATTTGATTTAATAAAGAGAGAAGATATTGAAACTTCTAAGAGAGTTAGTCGTAGACTTTATAAAACATTTTTTTAAAGATGTGGTTTCCTTGGTTACACGTTATCATGTTAGCTGTCAACTTATATTTTTCATGTTAAATAATATTTTCCTTATCATTTTATAATACAAAAAAATCCACGGGGATCAGGCAGCAGACGGGACTCGAACCCGCACCCTTCGCAATCCGGGCGAATGCATTGACCAATTAATAAAAATAATTAAAAAAAAACATAAATATAAATGCGATTTCTTCTTTCAAATGTTTAATACTTAAAAAAAGTATTCATTTGACATTGTGGGCTACCAACGTTAAAGTTGCACTTGAAAAATTATTTCATAAAACCACACTTTTTTTCTTATGTTTTCTTGTGTTTCTTACGAGTAGTCTAACAAAATGTCAGCACTACAATCGTAAGTTTGTAAACGTTACACTGAGCTGCGGATATTCAAGTGAGAGAGTCGGTTTCAATCTAATTTGTACAAAATCTTGAACTTTTAAAAGACTGCTTTACTTAGATTCCTACAGAGTTATTTAGTATTACAATAAATCTATTAATAGGAGGAATCATTCGATGTTTTTTACAATAAACAGGCGGGTTCTCTGTACTACGAGGTGTGCAAAAGATTATAAATTCCTATTTGACATTTATACCTTCCTTCAATTTTATTCCGCAATATTTACTGTAATGTCTAGTTGACTGCCATCGCGTAGGCAGCGCTCATACCAAACAATAAATAGAAATAAACAATTTACTTATATTTTTTACTGCAATAAAAATGTAATATGATGTTTTATTGCAATAAAAAATGCAAGTTAATTGTTTCATGTTTTCGTAAAATAACTGACGATTTTTGAAAATAATAATAATAATAAATCTTTATTGTGTATGGAACAAGGTAACATGAAAATACAGGTCTTAATGCTAATTGCCATTTGATCCTACCTTTTCAGGTGTATGCACATTTATAGTGTACGTATAGGAACCATTTGTATTTATTGACAAGTTATAATTCTACCTATATTCTAATTACTCTTGGATATTATAAAACATTTTTGGCTAAGCCAATCCTTAAGTATTTTTATTAATTTAAAAAGTTTTAGTTCTTAGAACTTGTCCGGTATATTGTTAATTTTAATGCACATAATAAATGTGTATAGCTGCTAAAGACAATTTTCTAGCAGGCCTATAGAGCTTACCTATAAAGCAAAAGCTTAACGCTAGGGTTCCGTTGTATCTCTCTCTAGGTGCGGGACAGACGGATAAGACATAAGTGGCAGACAGGACATAGACACAGTACAAGCTTAAGCTGTACGAATAAGAATTTTTGGTGAGATAAATACCTACCTTTTTTATAGATAGGTCTGACAAATGACTTCACCCCCACCTGATTTTAAGTAGCGGTGAAGTCCAGACGTGAAGATAGCTGGTACAGCAGTTCTACCTCCCACACCAGCCATCCTCACCTTGGTGGTAGCTTCTTCACGCCTCTTTATATATTTTTTTTTATCTTTTTATATTGATATGATTTAATACTCGCCCTTAACACTGTTAACTCGAACCTCGAAAAAGAGAGAAAAACTCAAATTGGTCAGCATACTTAAATCAAAATTCATTTACTTCACCCGCAGTCACTTACCGACGCC